CTCAAGGTCAGCCCCGCCCCCGCCTCTACCCTAGCGCCTTGGAAGAGGCGGTGGAGGACGTCTTGCGTTTCCTCACCTCTGCGTGGCGTGGGGTCGACGCCGATCAGGGGAGGGGCGGGACTTCCTGTCCCGCGCGGGCAGAACTTCCGGAAGAGCCGGAAGACCCTCTGCCCCGTAGAGTCCAGAGGTTCCCGGCTGCAGGAGAGGGAGGCGAGGTCCTGGACGGTCGGGGTGACTCCAGGGCCGGTTCCTGCGCTAGGCGTCATGGTGAGTGCTTCTGGGAGGGCTGGAGTAACACCAGTGGGAGGGGAGTACCTGGAGGTCAGTCCTGGGAAGGGAGCCGGTGGAGTGCCCCGCGGAGGATGGAGCGGGCGGGAGCCATGGGATGAACCGCCGGGCAGGACCCACCTCCCTTGCAGCGCCGGAGTGCCCGGGCCCCCGAGAAAACCCCTCCTGCCTTGCCTCGCCGCGAGTTCTGCCCAGGAGTACGGAGCCGCAGCCTGAGTGGTCGTGGCCCATTCACAGCGTACGGCGCGTGGTCCCAGAGTTGACCTTGCCGGGTTGGTGGTTTCAGGTGGTCCCAGCATTGACCTTGACTGGCTGGTCACCTCCGCCTCTCCTTAGCTGCAGGCCGTTGGCCAGCACTTCACATCTTAGAAATGCCTTGAGCATCATGTCAGGCGGACACTACGGATCCCCATGTAGAGGATGAGCGCCTGTCACTTAAAGGAACGGCAAGGTCAGCTCTTACCTTTCCCACGCAGCCCTTTTGGAATTGGAAAACGTGCCAAATAAAAAAAACAACAAAAAAAAATCCGGACTTAGTAAGGAAAGACTGAACTCGAAAGGAATATTGCAAGGGTGTGGGGGAAGGGCCTGTTACTGTAGGGAGAATGCCTTGACCGTAGATCTGCAGGAGTTTCCAAAGTTATGCAAAAGGGGGTTTTCTTTTATAGAGAGAGGAGGAAACAAGTGAAAAGAACCGGGTGTGCAGAAGTGAGGTGAAAAGGGTATATGGCCTGATAGTAGATCAGAGATTGTTTTACCTTCAAACCAGCCTACCTGTAAAGGAGTTATGGGGTTGTATACTGTTTCAGTTTGAGGGTGGGCCAAAGTTCAGGGAACTGAGGGAAGGACCTTAAGCAGAATTTGGGTAACAACATTTTATTCCAGTTGATCTACAGGGGCAAGCAGTTCAGCTAATCATTTATGAAGCAAAGAATGTGAATTTGCAGGTTTATGTCTGGCCTTGTCATATGTAAACAAGGGGGTCTTCTGTGAGCTTTACCCAAGTCATTTGGGGACTCGTGGTTCTTTGCACTAAGTCATTTCCAAAATA